GGATGTTAAAAACTATTTTAGCGATATTGACTGCTAGAACATTTTTGTTACTAGATTATGAATACACATTTCAGTAATATAAAAATGACTATCACAATGTGTGTAATCGTAATATTTGGCGATATTATGGAAAAAGTACGAAAGATATTACATGAATGGACGTATAACATTCACAGAATGGTTTCCCAATTTTAAAAAGTATAAGATATTACCCCGTTACAAAAAATAACTTGTTTCAACTTTTGACAAAATGTTTATGTGACATTCTAGGATCATTTCACGCCTATAGGGATTGACGTGTAACGTTGATAAAACGTTTAAAATATGAAACATTTGAACTCTCTCTTTCTTAGTGTTTATTTCTTTTATAACTTTAATTTAAATAATTCTTGCATTCACGTCATCGTTTTTTTAATGTAGTACTCTCTCGGAAATTAAAGGCTACATAACTTTCTTGAAAATAAAGTGGATTGTATTTAAAGACGAGAGCAATTAGAAACGTGAGCAATTAGAAGTTGTACTTCTATATGTTTCGTATATACACAGTTCATGAAAATGTTACGATTTTTTTTATTGGGTTAAAATTAACAATGATATTTTATTTAGAAACGATTGCAATGATGAAACAAGTAACTGACATTATGAAAAAATGTCATACAATTTTTAAACTTCTGATTAAGAATAAATGAAATCGTGAGAGTGATTCATTTTTGGTAAACATTTGTCAATCCATTTTGTGAATCGTTCGATGATAGCAATGAGTTGCGTTAGGCTGCGTCAATCTGTGTTCGTTTTTTCTACTTATGCTGGCGATCATAAATATATATGCAGTCAACAGTTTTCTATCACTGTTCAAAATAGAAAGTGGTAGTATCGTTACCGAAACCACGAATGGTTTAATATTGAGTGATATTATCGCAAGTGTACGATATTAAAAATATGTACCGTACTCGCGTGTATAGCGCTGGAAACAATATTTTTGCTTCTTTTGTATTTGATAGATGCTTAAACCTATCTGACAGGAAATGCGTAACAGAGCATAAGCATAACTTATGATCGCTGGACCAATGCGATAGGCTCTCCTGATTAGGTGCCGTGGCAGAGGTACGTAACGTTATCATAAAATTTATTAAGCACTGTGATCCAGCTTCGACCGTAAATGGCTTTCTTCTTCTAGTTTATTATTGTTTATCAATTGTATGGTCTTAAAAATATTCTAGTATTTGTTAAATTACGTCAGCCTGAAAAAAGATGTTATTCTCCTTCTTTAGATAAATATTGCGAAGAATATTACTACGTCGACCCGTCATCAGAGGTCTATAGATATTCGCAAAAATTCTCGCAAGTGCTGAGATATGCGTATATCTGTATATATATAGAATCTCGATTTAATAATTTAAACAGGCGTCTAAGGTAGGTTTCCATTACAATGTCTTACTGATGAGTCCAGTAGTGGAAACCAGGACGAAAGGTGATATTCTTCGCAATCTTATTTTTCACAGATTTAGATTTATCTTTACTTCAACGTTACATCGTTAAAATTTAATATATGTCTTTCAACATATTATTAAGATCCAATAAGATGCTATAAGCATAAAAAATTGTTAGATTGCTTGTCAATTTAACTAAGTGATATTACTGCGGTAGTAAGTATGTATGCGTCAATGCTGAAAAACTATCAGCGTCGCGATTTATGGGGGGACTACATACGCAGTATATAAAATTCACACAATTATAATAAGCACTGTGATCCAGCTTCGACCGTAAATGGCTTTCTTCTTCTAGTTTATTATCATAAAATTTATGTTTGTAAATCACACGTAATCTGTTGTTCCAAATTATTACGCTATTTTTTATTATCACGTGTTAATGTAATTAAGTTAAACATACGTATTACAAATAATTACCTTACATTGTGTGTCTTTTTATGTGAATTTAATTTTAAAAGACTGAATCATATAATTTCAAGGAAAGGAACTTATAAACGTATGATTTCTGAAATTATTTGGCTAAATTACACAATATTGTTATGAAACATCGTGACGTAACTTTTTTTGACATTGTTTTCAAAATCCATACTGCTTCATGAAAGATATGTGAAATAATGCTTTCAACGGGTGAGCGTAAATATGAAATGTACATTAAATGTATAGAATCATATTAAATTATTGAGTGTGTAGAAAAAGAAATACCAGTACAAAGTGAACATTCATAAATTGTTTGTAACTTTCCGCCGATTTTCGAATCGCCTTCGCCTTCCGCTGTTCCCCTCACCTCACTTCACCACGCTCGGTCCAAATGGCGCACGATGCTCGAGCGACATTTAATCTGCGCAAGGTAAAGTGACACTACCGCGTCTCCTGATATACAAATATATGTAAAATTAAAATATATGTCTCTTAATTTATGTCTTAATATATGTCTTAATTTAATATATGTCTCAATATATGTAAAGCCTAAATAGAAACGAAATATATATTTAAGTATTATTGATTCTTGTTTAAATAAATGTAAAAATATTTTAAGTATTACTATTTAAATGACTAAAATAAATTAATAAGAATAAATCTTTTAATTGATTTCAGAATACCCATACGTTTTTGCAGTTTTTAAATTGACAGAACTTTTATGTATTTAATAAAAACAAAAAATCCAGGTGGATTATTTTTTCAATATCAATGTTATCAAACATCTTAAAAGCATCAATCGTCGGACAATTATTATTCATCAATTCCAAACATTTCTACCTCGAGTGAAAAAGGCAAAGCGTCGTTACAAAAACCGTATCCATCCACCAGTTGCATACGTTTACTGCCGTTCGCTCGATAACAATAAAGCTTGCATAGAAACAGAAAGAAACCTGTCTAAAGCGAGAGAGGAAATTCGGGAACGCGAAAAAGTGGGTCGTGAAAATTGGATGGGTGTGTCGAAAAATTGCGTTTGTAGAGAAAAATGCATAGCGAACCGTATGACATTCGCTTCCTAGGAATGATTCCCGATTGGTACCAAGTGCCCTTCAATCTAACGGGTGTCTGTGAACCAACCGACTGACGGACACTGAATGCGACCATTGGCTGTGTACGATGATTCTGCATTCTTCGCGGAATGATTGCGACCACCACCTATATGAGTCACAGCTGAGTCGTCCGCAAATTTGCATGCTTCAATCGTTTCATCGACCTTCCTTGTGCATCCCTTGTTACCACAAAACTGTGTTTCCGGCACTCCGGATTGCCAGGCTTTCTCACAGCGGACGCAAGAATTTTCAAAAGATTCTATTTGCGCGTGTTCCGCGAAGCGAAGAATTTAGGTAGGTAAGTTATAAAGCGTTCGTATTTCGATGTAAATGCTTTAGGAATCTCCTCTCCTTTCCATTTACATTCTACCCACGCTACGAATTTGCAATTTTCTCGCTTGCCGTTTACTTCAATTATAATTATATAATTATATATTATACATACATACAAAAAGATGAAAATATCTCTTTTCATACTTTGTTTCACGCCAGAAATGATTGAAAAATATACCTGCGTCATTCTTCATGATTCGCATTACTCCGTATCCACAAAATCTAATGAATTTGGATCCACGTTCACTAAATTCACATAAAACACTAAAAACTTTGACGATACAATAGATAACTAGAATGCGGTGAGAGCTGAAAAGCGAGACCGGTCGCTGAAGAAAAGTTACGCTACGATGATCATACGTCTTCGTTAAATCTATGCCGTGCTTAGTCAACGCCGCGAGATACGCATCGGAGAGATTTCGCCTTTGAAGGAAGCACACTGACGTCTGTGTCGCCATGACTCCTCATGATGTATCGTCACAGACACGCCATTTCCTACGCGCTACGACACCCACCCTCACATCCTATATTCCCGTGTGTGGAACACGCTCTAATCGCGGCCGCGATATTTATTGGTGGCCCCTTATTACGGAAGCGACAATTTGTCATGCCGCTGTATTAATTACATAGCCTCCCTTATGCAGATAAGGGTGCTGGAAACAACCTGTTTGAATCGAAGCCGTCTCCGATAAATTTTCAGATTAATTGCCGTCGAGCTAGTCAGTGCCAGTTTGCAATTAATAATGATACAACCCATGTACAACCTTTGTTAACCCTTCTCTTCGCGGACTGGAGCTTTCTACAAAGTAACTTATGGAAGGTCTATCTAAAAAATTTCGAGGTCAATGAATTTGATTCTATATACCTCAGAATTCTAAAATTTAAATTAAAAAAATAATCTTGAAAAAATATTTTAAAAATTTGACTATCGTGAAATTCGCTGCCCTGAAAATATCGAATTTTGTAAAGGTAATAACCTTCAATGTGTAGGTTGGATCTAGTATCACAGGGTTTATAATTAGAGTTTGAAAGTCAGTTTAAATGAACTATTTGCGTGGCACTGATGAGCTTCAACTAAAATGAAACTGAAAACTTAATAATACTTCACAATTAGAAGAAATTTTCTAAAACTATAAATTTTATAGTGATCAAATTTTTCTTTTTTTCGAATTTTTGTTCGAAATATTAGACTATTTTTTAAATTTTTTATTTCTGACTTCAGATTCGTATAAAGCATTATTAAATTACCCCATAAACCAAGTTTCAAAAAAATCAAACAAGCAATTCATAAAATGAAAGGGGAAAATCCCAAATGAGGTCATTTCAGTTCACAAAGAGTTAATTGTCCAGGAAGCTTTGTATATTCCGAGTAACATAAAACAAATTCGCATTTCAAATAGCTTCATGTTTATATTATATCTGCATAAACACAGCTAAACGTATAATCTTTAAAGGTTTAAATTATTCCAGCGTACTTGATATTATAAATTATAACCGAACAATGCTATGAATAATCGTGTATGAAGTATTATAAGCATTGAATAAAATATATTATGTAAAATTTTATTAAATTAATGATTATAAAAGAATTCTTGTGTATATATAGTGTTTATAATAAAATGTCATAGTAAAATTAGAAGAAAAGACTTACTACTTTGTCGCCCAAATTTCGCACGCGGCACGGTAGATATGCGGTTTGTCCTACAAATGCACTGACATTCGCCGCTGTCGGCTCGAAAACGGGCAGATCCTCCATCAAATTATTACTGGCATCGTTTACATGCCGCTGTGCATTTTCGTTGGATGTCACGCGTACGTGTGCTGATGCTGGAAAGAGAATAACGACATGACTTTCGATGATGACATACATGTTTCTCAATATAATCTTGTACATCCCGTTGTTACATAAAATTAACTTTTATTTATGTCGCACTTTTATTTGTAATTTCGATGCTATGTTAGTGTATTCATTATTTAAAAAATACAAAGGATATTAAAAAAGCTTGCATATTTTTGATATTTTCTTTCATTCCAAATCTGTTCTTTGTGGCTAAACTAGTTGTATAGTCGTTGTACGTAAAATGAAACAGATATATATTTTAAATTTTACAAAAGATAGGAAGTTTTAGTACAATCCAACGTAGCGACAAAGAACAAGTCTTCATAGAACGATAATTAAGGATTATTAACCTTTTATCTGTAATCATATTCTTTCCGTCTGCAATCTAATTGCTACTGTTCTAGGTTTTCAAAAAGTATGGGAAAATTTATGGTTACTTTGCGATATTCCTATTACATTATCAAATAGATTTTTACAAGATACGTTAGAAGGAAAAACCAAACTCCGCCCTCTTTCATTTCAGAAAAATTTGTTTGTGCCAAAAGAAGACTCAGATTGCACGAAGGATTAAATTATTCCTCAAAAGTCATACAAGATGCTAATCTCTTAAGTGCAAAAGATTGCGCAAAATTTTTACCATTTCGATTGAAAGAAGTTTATCTCTTTAATATATTTACATTGTAATCACTTGTGCAATGTATCTACTTTATGCTGTCGCAAAGAAGCGCATGAAATATGTTCCTCTCCATGAAACTTATACGTGCGAATTTTGGACAGGAAACCAGCGTTCGCTGACGTCTCCCACGAGAGCACAACTCTGAATCAGCTACGAGCGCGCGACTGCTGGATGTACTACTTACAAGATACCAGAATCCAAAGTGCGTTATAACTGGCACAAGTAGCGACTGGCGCCGAGCGAGCAAACTCAGCTCATTTCTTAAGCGTAATATACTCTTCGACATTTCGGTAGAATATCTTATAGAACACTGTTATGCACTCTACTTCATTGTATGTGCTCGTTTGTATCTCTTTAAAATTCTGTCTGCCTTCAAGTGCGTCGTGTACTATAAAGAATAAAACATTCTCACTTATACTTTTCTTTATATATTATTGTTTGTGTTGTAAAGAATAATTCAGCTTTCGCAATAATACGCGTCCGTCTTTATGACAAAAAACATACAGCAAACAATGTGATTCATTTCATCGAGAACACACGTTTGTATTAAGAATTTTATTTTCAAAATTTTCGATAAGAGATATAGTTAATGAAAAAAGAGGATAAAAACTAGTTCGCGTTTAATCAATAACATGTTTTTATTAGTTCGCCTGTAGAACTGGTCGAGTTTAATAAAAGAGATTGTTTGAGTATTTGTAAAAAACTTGTTTTGTTAAATTGGAATAGAGGCTTCTATTTGTTTTTATTATGAGCACTTGTATTTACTTGTAAACATTTTCATATACATACCTATAGAGTTCTCTTGATACATAACTACAATTTCACCATGGATGAAAAATACAATTGCTCTATATATTTAAATAAACAAGTCTTTTGTTATTTTTAAAATTGAAAACTTTTTTTACATGTATTTTGTATTGTTTTTCTTTGCGTATCGCTGAATATATAAATCGTATTTTCTAATTTTATACTCGTAGTAATGCAATATTTATACGTACACACTGATTTCAAAACTAAAACTTGAAAATTTGCAATGCAATTCGTGAGGAGATGACGTGCGAATTATGAAGAAAGGACGAGCATTCCTTATGCTTTAATTCACACACGTTTTCGCATCTATTTGCTTCACGTGTGCGAGTGGCACTGGAATAAATTCGAGTCGCATACATTCCTCTCTCTCGCAACCCATCGAATTTATTTCAAATATGCATGTCACGTAGAATAGTGACACGTACTACAGGAGTCGCGCGAAAGCCAAACTTTCAAACGATTTCGATTTTGGGAGATTATAAAGGGCACATATTATTCACACAAATTGTATGGAAAAACCGCAAACATTATTTCACAATCGTGACAATACGATTTACTAGCGCTAGCTTGATTATGTGTGTGATATAAAATACTTATATTATTATTATTAACATTTTTTATTTGAGTCACGTAGATTCAAATATTTTTTGATATATCCCAAGCGAAATTTCCGTACGATATTATGTAACTGTAAAATAATAATGCTTTAAATCCAATATTAAACTTTCAGTATTAAAATTGAGATTTTCTCCTCTATTTAATTATATATGTAACTTTTATTAAGTTAATATAGTCTTAAAATCTCTTTGAAAAATCAATACTCTGACTTATTATGGCCTTCTGGCTTTTTGATATTTCCGTTGGCTGTCTGAACACGTGTTGCATAAAGTCTTCAAAGTTTCCGGATAAACATCATTCAAATGGCTGCCGAGCTATACGGATCGTTCTCTGCTTAGTATACCTTTGGAACAGTTAGTATATTCTCCATCATCATCAATCATCATCAGACCGAACGACGATACTCATTGGCGGTTGACAGGGATTGATCCGAAAGGAAAGTTCGTAATAGAAACTGACTGACTGTGTAAGTCCATTATACAAGAAAGAGAAAACGAAATAAAATAAATGTATATTTAATTTTTATACTCTTTAAAAATTTAACTTACGCATTTAGTTCAATTACAACCTGAGTAGTTTTTATTATTTTATTTAAACCAATCATCAATGTTCTGACAAATTTTTTTATATCAGATATATTCCATTGTACAGTATTTCTGTTTTATCAAACGTTACACAAAATGTTAAAAAAAAGTATTTTTTATTTGTAATTATAATTGCATAGTAAAGTGATTATAATTAAACGATTCGTTATTTGTATAATTATTATTGCTATAACGTTAATAATAATAATTACAGATTCCATTAAAAATATATAAATATAATTGACATCAAAAATGACGATACATTACAATTAAATTAGAAATTATAAATTACTATATATAGTAATTGCAATCTTTTTTCTCAGTGCATATAGAATAAGCAATCATTTTCACATGCCATAATCCGCAAAATAAAAGAACCTTTCTGTAAAGTAAATCGCAAAATTCTGCAAATCTAAATTTTTTTTATTTCAATTCAGTACGATATTGTGCTACCACTATTATCCACTTCTTGCAGAAGCAATGTCCCAATTGAGAATGAAAAAAATACTGCCGTGACCCCAAAAAGACAAACGCTTGTCAATCATCGCGTATCGTCCCCCTTTTGATCCTCGCGAGCATGCAATCTGATAAATTTAATTGGATGAATCTGCGTGCGGTGTGTGTGTGCAAGGGTAAATCCACGTACGGCGAACGCGGGGTGGACTGCGAGGGGCTTGAAACACGGATTGCTATCGAATTATCAAACGAATCTGCCCAGAACAACCCGTTGACATCGTATAACTCGTCGAACTGACCATTTCATATAACCAACGCCCTCTCCGAAAACCCGCGATATCCTCTTTCAATCTCAAAGCATTTGACAGGACGCTTATCACAACTGTGTACAATCTTTTCTATTACAATATTTTCTATTTCTGACGTATTCGAAACTTCTGCTTAAAAATTGAGAACTTAAAATGATTTGTACCGTGTTGAGTATCGAAAAAAACGTAGCAGGAAATAATTTGTAATTGTTTGTTTGTATCTTATGCGGTACTTAATATTTAATTTATTGAATTAAAGACTGAATACGAATTTTTATGTATTTCAGTACATTTTGAACGTTATATGGATCGTTGTTTTATGCACGAATACAATACCAAACATTACGAGAGCATACCAATGAGATTTACAAGTAGGAAGTTAATATTGACGCAGTTTACATGAACATCTTCGCTTGGCTTGCTCGAGAATCGGGAGTAAATATTAGTTTGGTTCCATCACTACTTCTCCCTCCCGCCCCTCTTCAGGTGCGATAACGCCCGTATACATACCCCATCTACTGGCGTTATACAAATGACCAACACTCCACCCCTTTGTGCCTCCACCCCACGGTAAAGTCCTGCCACAGATCCTGATAACTCGAGATTAATTGACAAAAAGCTACCGTCACAAATAAGGATGACATACATTACATGAAAATCGTCCGGTGTCACCATTATCGCGATCTCTACCACTTCCAATGGATCTTCCGATACGGAAATCAAGAGGAAGAAGAAACATTAAATTTACTAAAGCCAAGTGCAATTCCCTTACGAACTCTCCATATTTAAAAACCAAAAAATATGTATCCAAGGATCAGGCAGTAGAGAGTCAGACGTGGTTCTTTGTACGTAATTAATAATTTATTCTTTAAAAATATTGATAAATAATAACTTTAGAGATGAGTCACTACTTATGATTTTTTAGTTGATTTGAGAGATTAACGAAATTAATATTTTATTAGATCGCACATCAGATCGGTAAATTTGATGGGTGACTTTGTTTCAAACATTCGGAGAAGTGAAGAGATTTATAGTTATGCTGAAGATGACTCCAAAGTAGAGTCGAAACGTTCATTATTTTTCAATATTTTTAAAGAATAAATTATTAATTACGTACAAAGAACCACGTCTGACTCTCTACTTCCTGATCCTTGGATACACATTTTTTGGTTATTAAATTTACTTCTAATTCATTCAGAATAAATATTTACATTAAGGGAAGAAAATTATATATATTCTCTTAAAATAATATAGAAAATTACATTTCGCAAAACACAATTTAACAGTATAATTTCATCAATACTATAATTTTTGACTCAACAATATAAGTATAGCATAACACATGTCGTATATAACAGTTATATCGCTAAGTAGAAAATTATAACATTGATGTAATATTATATATTATTATTTCTGGAACGAATTAGGTACGAATACGTTATATGTTATAAAGCTAACAATTTTTTTTTATGTAAAATACATAATCCCCTACGAAATCCCTTCTTTCTTTGTGCCATGTGCAGTATTAAATAAGG